CCCCACACAAACACCCCAAAAGCCCTTCATCACGGCTGAGGGGAGTACTCTTTCTCTGCCACCTGGTCCTGAGGAGAAAAATGAATGAGCTGGTGGTGCTTCCGGTCACTTCTTGTGTCTGCTTTCCACAGTGGCACCTTCAAGACTGATGCAGTTTATTCCAAGATCAAGATGGGTCGCCCTGTTAGTCTGTCTTTAGCAACAGAAAAGAGCAAGAGTCCAGTAGCGCTTTAAAGACTAGCAAAATTTGTGGCAGGGGATGAGCTATGGTGAGTCACTGCTCACTTCTTCAGATACCTACCAGCACTAGCTTTTGGTGAGTCAGAGCTCACTTTCCAGAATAAACTCTTGTTAGTGTTTAAAGAGTGCCATGATGTTTGAAAGACAAATGAGTGGGTTCTAGATCAAATCAAGCCTGAACTCTCCCTAGAAGCTGGAATGACTAAACTGAGGCTATCGTACTTTGGTCACATGATGAGAAGACAAGAGTCACTGGAAAAGACAATCATGCTGGGGAAAGCCAAAGGCAGCAGGAAAAGAAGAAGACCCAACATGAGATAGAGTGACTCAATCAAGGCAGCAACAGCACTCAGTGTCATCTTTGTGTCATCTGCAAATTTAGCCACTTCACTGCTTACTCCCAACTCCAAATCATTAATAAACAAGTTAAAAAGCATCGGACTGAGTACTGAGCCATGCGGTACCCCACTGCTTACCACTCTCCACTGAGAAAATTGCCCAGTATGCTGAGGCAAGCTCTGCTTTGGCACACAATATACACTCAGTGGCAGCCACAGTCTATCACAGCTCTCAAAATTGCATGCCTTATGGCATATGTGTTTATAGTTCCCATTTTTAGATGTGCACATAAAAAAGTAATTCAAAGAGACTTTTAAGAGTGTAGCGAACCAGCTGAACATTCAGCTTCCACACCATTCCAGTAATTCATTCTGAACTTTTAAAATATAAGCAAATCATACGCCTCTTGACTTCTCAGCTGGTAAATTTTTCAAATGCCACAGATAACATTTCACATAATATTTTTCTGGCAAATATTAGTAATTAAAAGTCAGCAGATAGTAAGGAAATGTCATTTCAATCCATTTAAAAAAAGACCTTAACTCCAAAGTCACAAACTTAAGGTAAGTTGCAGTCACATAGTCAACTCTTCTAAATACGAAAAAAAAGTTTCTGGTTCATATGCCATTAAAATAAGCCATTCTATTTCAAAACCTATAAATGATCACCCTTTTATTATTTAAATGATGATAATCTCTTCTTACTGCGAAGCAGGGGTTTTAAATAGCAAGCTGGCTCTGTGATGTCTCAATGAAAGATTTACTTTTATGAGTTACAGTATATACAACATCGCCTACACTTTATTATAGTTGTTTGAAATTAACTCACTGCCTTATTTGAAAAGGAAAAAGTTATTACCATTCTATTTGCATGCCTTATTGCCTGTGGATAAGTGAGCCTGAAACCCCAAGTGTAAAATCTAGACACCAAGTAAATAAACCATTCATTCAGGCAAGAGAGATTCCGGATGCTCACGAGAAGTCGATTTAATTTGTACAGCTAGCATAGTTAATCTGGGTTCCAGCCAGGGATGGACTGGCCATCATTTGCTCCTGGATATCTCCTGGTGGGCCAATGGGCCTCTCCCACCAACACCAGGGCCAGGCCAGGCCAGTAGCAAGGGGAGGCACAGCCTGGTCTGCCCGAGCCCAGCACAGCCCAGGGAAGGAGATGCCCAGCTGGTTGGGTAGGCTGCTTTATCCTCCGTCCCCCACCAGAGGAGTGTGGCCAAGGCTGACTTGTCCCTTTCTCCCTCCATCCTGGGGAGGGGGGCTTTCCAGGGCTGTTTTTCCCTCCCAGGCTTCTCCTGGCTCCAGTCCTCAATAACACTGTATTCACACAACCATTTCGGTACAGCTGTGGTCAGCATAATAAGTTTATTGAACTTGTTGGCAAACGGTTAACATGGCCAAATTACACCTTAACATATAACCTTGCAAATAAAATCCATTTTGGGAATCTATTGTCTCCTGAGCTATCGCTCAGCATCTTTATCATTATAAATCTTTGGGTTCCCACTGGAGAGACAGGCGAGGTGTGCACCAGCCATCAACATCTATGAATTCTTCCATGAAAATAGTAGTTTACAGCCGCATTCAGAATTCATAAACAGGTAGAGGTTGGTTTGTGATGGACACAAACCTGGTTTGCTGGCACCCTTGCACACCCATGGAGCATCCCCATGCAGAATATCACTGAAGACTTTCTAGATGCAAAAGACAAACTGCCACTTGAAGACAAGCTTTGTACAAAGAGCAAAGTGCTTCTCCCCCACAAACCGGGATCTAAGCCATAGTTTAATCCTGCATTATTCTAGTTTATGAGGAAGAAACAAACTCCTGTTTGGCCTGGTGGCCTCATTCTGATGTCACAAACTAGAGTTACACTGAAGGCTTTTGAAAACAGAAAGCCTTCAGTTATTCTCTGCCTATGAGGAGAGGGGGCAGACACAAGAACACAAAAAGCCAGGCTTGTGCCTATATAACGAAGATACTGCCATTTGTTCATGACATGTGAACAGAGTCTACACCAGGCTTAGGACATTTTTAGCCATCAAGAAATTTTAAATCTGGCAACAGGAAAAGAGCACAGGGAAAAAATAATATTTTATTTCAGTTTTAATTGCAGCCTTCTTCAAACCCAACAACAATAGCTTGCAATACTGACTTTTCAAAGTACAGTGGTGACAGAACCCCCTTGAATCATCCCCAAAGGTGCTGTTTATTGCCAAAATTAAGCTACCAAATGCCAAAGAGCAACTCTTAATTCATGCATTTACCTGTTGACTTGTTAGAGGCCCTCCGCCGAATTTCAGTCACCATTAATCTTGACACTTGTGTTGTAAACTGAAGGAGATCTGAAAACTTTTCTATCATCGTACTTGGAGGCGCATTCCCAAACACCTGCAAATAATTTTTTAAAGGCTCCAATTAATATTTATGCAGACATTCCGAAGCCCAGCAACTGGAGCATGAAACGTTTTGAGCATGACACTTAACAGAGGTTTCTTTTTCTGCACAGGATTACGCCAAGAGGTACTGAGCCCCACCGACATCCCCCCCCCATGCAGTACAACAGCCAGGGTTCAGTTGAATGCTGCCCAAGACCAAGGGAGCACCCTCACCATGCTTCCCTGGTTATCAGGGATGCCAACTCTGGGTTGGGAAACACCTGGAGATTTTGAGGGTTAGGGCAGGGTTTGGGGCACAATGCCACAGAGTCCAACTTCCAAAACATCCATTTTCCCCAAGCAGACTGATGTCTGTCACTTGGAGATCAGTTGTACTAGTGGGAGATCTCCAGTTAACACCGGGAGGCTGGCAGCCCTACCAGTTATACATAAGCAATTGGCTCAGGCAGATTCCTTTCATCAACAGACACCTTAAAGATGCTCACCAAGTTTTCCTGCCCATCTCATTTTAAAACTTTTTTTTTAAAATAGGAAGAGAAAGACAGAAGCTGCTTTTTTATTTTCAAACAAAAGACCTGAACTCTGGTGATAGATCAAGATGGGTAGCCATGTTAGTCTGCCTGTAGCAGCAGAAAAGAGTAAACATCCACTAGCACCCTAAAGACTAACAAAACTTGTGGCAGGGGATGAGCTTTCGTGAGTCACTTCTTCAGAGAACTCTAGTGGACGTTTAACTGAATTATGAAAATACCTTCTAGAAAAGATCTGTATTTAATAAACAAAAGGTAATTACAACTCTACAGCTGCAGGCAGGGGAGAAGTTGTGAGTGACCATGGAGTTACAGTCTGGTTATGAGTTACACTGTCCATGAGAAAAGGAGAAAAGTATAGTAGCTGCTGCCTGTTGGGAATCCTGAAACCCTCCCCAAGAGAAAACTGAAGGTGGCTGTAGAAAGGGAAAGACGTAGGAAAGCAAAAAGCACCAGCCGGCTTTCTCCCTCTGCTATTTATCTGTGCTTACTTCTCTGCTCGGTGGATAGTTTTCCCTGCTGTTGCTCCTCCTCCCAAGTCCTAGGGGGGAACAATCAGCTTCCAGGCAAAGATAAACAACAGAGGGAGAAAAGCTGCACGCAGGTCTTCTTTGTCTGTGCGTTTGCCTACAGCCCTCTCCAGCTTTTCAGCCTCTCACCAAGGGAATCTGCAGAATTCTCAACAGGCAGAGCTTGGCTACACAGGGCCACTTTCCGCACAGCAAGCGTAAGGTGCATTTGGGCTCTGAGGCTCAGCATCAGCCCTCCTTCGCTTCAGAAGACTGCCAAATGTCTGGAGGTGGTGCAGTGACACTGGTGTTAACTGCATGTCTGAAGTCTACCCATGACTGCCTCCCTGTGTATTTACGGACGCCGCAAGGCTACAGTGCAGCTTCTGGTGAATCAGTCACCGGCTTAATAATGTTCCTGCCTCCCCACGCTCAAGGCTCACTCATCGCCGCCATATTAGGGCTTCAGGAAACCACCATGTTAACCAGAAAAACCTGCAACCAGAATGGCCTCAAAATTACAGCTGTGGAAAATACAACACGTAGCTGTAAACAGAAGCACAGAGAAACAGCCAGATTACATGCCGCCCGCCCTTCTTGTCGCCTTTTCGTCTGGGAGGGTCCAGTAGTTTCACCTTTGCTTTTGTTCCCCCTTCAGTCAGGAGGGTGGAAAGATCACTCCCCTAATCAAAAGCAACACTGGATCTATCAACATATCACATTTTTACCCAGCCTTTCCTCCAAGGAAGACGGAGTAGTTTACGTGGTTTTCTCCTCTGCTGTTTTGTCCTTAACAACCCTGTGAGATAGGTCAGACTGAGAATTATTGGCCCAAGGATACCTAGAGAGTTTCATGGCTGAACGCCCCCAGGTCTAGTCGGACATTCAAGCTGCTAGGCTACCCTGGCTTGAAACCTGTATCACACAGTTGATGCCTCAGCCTCTCTCCCCACCTGAATATAAAGAGCCACCCCTTCCAAACTGCATGTTCCTGAAACACAGGGAATACTCCCAATTTTTAACTTTCTCCCCATACTCCCTTTCTTGGTTTATACTGATCCTCTACTCCTGGCTTCAAAGAAGAAGACGGAGA